TGTGAAGTTCTTATGGTTCCTTATGCTATTGATCTCCAATTTAATTGCACTATGGTCTGATAACATACAGGGGATAACTTCATTTCCTTTGCATTTACTTAAACAAGTTCTATGAGCTATTATGTGGTCTATTTTGAATAATGACCCATGTGCACCTGAAAGAAATGTATGTTCTGATTTTGTGGGATGGAATACTGTAGACATCTATTCAGTCCATTTATTCAAAAGTTTGGTTTAGTTTTAGTGGTTTTTTGTTGATTTTATTCTCTAAATGATCCTTTTGTGACAATGGGTCATGGAAGTCCCCCACTACAATTGTGTAGTGCTTATTTGTTTTTTCATGTCCATTAATATTTGTTTTATATAGTTGGGTGCACTAATGTTTGGTGCAGATATATTTATGATTGTCATCTCTTTCTCTTTGATTTTACAAGGATGTAGTGACCTGCTTTGTTAGTTTCAGCTTGATATCTACTTTGTCTACATGTAATGTAGCTAATCCTGTTTTTTTCTGGGTGCCTGTCACATCTAGAACTATTTTCTATCCTTGTACTTTCAGGCTATGAATTTCTTTTTGATTTAAGTGTGTTTCTTATATTCAGCATATTGTTGGATTTTGCTTCTTAATCCATTCTGCCAGTCTATTTCTTTTGATTGGTGCATTGAAGTCATTAACTTTGATGGTTATAACTGTTATGTATTGATTTATCCTTGTCATGACATTTTCCTGTTGTTGGTTCTTTTATTTTTTATTTTCCTCCTTTTCCTTTAATTTCTTGTGTTGCCTGATGCATTCACTCTGTTGGGCCCCATGGAGTTGTGACCCTCATTGTTTTTTTCTAGGATATTGTTTAAAATTGTTTGGGTTGCTGATTTGGTATTTGTGAAGCTTTTTAGGTGTGCTTGTTGTGGAACTACCTTATTTTTCCATTGATTTTGAAAGTTTTACAGGATACATCAATCTAGGTTGGAAGTTGTTTTCTTTTAAGGCTTGAAGTACTTCACTCCAGGCTCTGCCTGACTTGAGGTTTTGTGTTGAAAAGTCTGTTATGACTCTGACGGGCTTTCCTTTGTATGTGATTTGTTTCCTTTTCTGTAACTGCTTGTAGTATTTTGTTCTTCTGGGATCTTGACTATTTATTATATGTCTAGAAATAGAGTTTTTTGATCACAGCTAGTTGTAGTCCTATATACCTCACTTATCTGTATGTCAAATTCTTTTCCTCTGCTTGGGAAGTTTTCTGCCATTACTTCTATGAACAAATTTTTAAAATGTCATTTGAACCTTCTCCTGTTTTTCATGAACTCCTATCAGTCTTACGTTATTCTTCTTTGTGTCATCTAGGAGCTGCTGGATTGATTTCTTGTGGTCTCTTAGTATATTCAAGAAATCTCTCTTTTCATAGTCACTAACCACAATCCTTTCTTCTATACCTGATATTCTGTCTTTACATTGGCTCATTCTGCTGCAAATAATTTCAATAGAGTTTTTAATTTCCTGGGTATCTGTTTAGATCCATTTCATGGATTCCTTTTGTTTCCTATGTTGGGCATTCATGGCTTCCATGGTGGTCCTGAGCTCATCTGTTTTTTTAAATCTGTTTCTGTTCTTGAGTCTCTAACTATATCTTTTATTCTGCAGACCATTTCTGTAGTTATCTGGGAAATTATTTCTGTTTTGAATTTTTCCAGAGCTTCATTCATCTGTTTTGTTACTTCCTATGCTATCAGTTTACAGTGTCCAGGTTGTTGCTTATCAGGTTTTTCCACCTCCTTACCCCCAGAATTTGCCTTTGGTGAGCTGGAAGTTTGGGTTTGTGCATTGTTTAGGTGTCTTCTCATTTCTATTTTTGTTGTTGGTGGTACTTTTGGTTTAATTCCCAGACTAATACTTCAATATTGCTTGTTGTGAGTATCTTTATTGCTTGTATTTAGAACCCTTATGGAATGATTGCTCCTCACAGGTGTCTTCCAGGTATACCTGGTCTTTAGGTTTTGATTCTCTAATGACTCTTAGATAATGTCATTTTCAGTATACCAGGAAGGACAACTAATTAGATCAATCACAACATCTTAGCCCAAGTGATACAATTAGCTTTAACAATAGCATGAAACAGTTTAGAAAATGACAATTTTTGGTAGCTATTAATCTGTCATCTCTAATTGCATAAACTAGATCAGAATAGAAGACCAGCCCAAATTGTGTTCATAGTAAATAAACCCTTTATTATAGCAAATATACCATTTGGGATAAGGATGTAGAAGTTGGGAGAGAAGGATAGAGAGATAGAAGGAGAGGGAAAGGTTAGAAGTGAGGCTAGAGGACACAGGAAGATCATGAAAAGTTTGTGAAACTGTTGAAGACAAGAGGAAAAGACAGAGTGAAGGAACAAAGACAAGAACTGAACTAACTAATAGCAATAGGGAAGCTAGAAGCTGTATTCACCTTAATGACAATTGAGGGATGGAAAGAGAGAGAATAAAAAGCCAAAATAGGACAGGGACAAGAACAAAAAAGGAGAGAAGTGGAGAACAAGAAGGGAGGAAGAGAAAAAAAGAAAAAGAAACAGGGCCTCCTTCAGGGTATGTCTCTGCTGTCTTGATAGACAATATGGGTAGCTGTGTGCAGATCTAAGTCAATTAGTCTCAGCAAGCCAGCGGTAGTCTGCTGAGATTCAGGCTGATTTCTGGCTGCAAGGTCCAAGTTGAACTCCCTGACCTCCTTCAGCATTTACCTCTGCAAGGTTTTATTGCTGGATCGAGCTGCCCTTCCCCCAAAGTGAGTCTGGGTTCTGATGGGAGATGCTGATTCCACCAACTTACCAATCCTAGTGGTGTGGTGTACCCTTTATTGCAGAGATTTTCTTCACTTTCCCAATGGGCTTCAGTTTTCATTGAGGAGCCTCAGAGAGGCCCTCTCTCTGTTGTTCACTTCTGCTCTATCTTCTGGAGCTCATAACCATGGCCTTTATGGCTTCAGGCACCTCTGTAGTGTGGATCCAAATACCAGCCTGTCCAGTGCAGTATTCTGAAGGCATGGCCCTCTGTGTGACAGTGCTGGGTGGCAGGGGCAGTGCTGGGCCCTGTGAGAGACAGTCTGTGTTTTGCTTTTTGATAACAGCTGTGAGGTGATGACTCACTGTAGTTTTGACATAAATGGGTAAAGAAAATGCACTACATACATGCAGTTGACTAAAAAGGCAGGCAATCTTGTCATATGCTACAACATAGATAAATGTGGAGGACATCATTCTCAGTGAAATAAGCCAGACACACAAGGATAAGTACTGTATAATTCCTCTTACACTCAGTGACAAAAGTAGCCAAACTCACAGAGGCAAAGAATACAGTAGTAGCATCCAGTGCCAGGGGGAGGGTTTGAGAAAATGAGGAGCTGCTATTCAGTGAGTGTGAAGTTTCAGTGATGCTAGAGGTCTGCTGTACAACATCATGCCTATAGTTAGGAACACAGTATAGATCACATGTTGAATGTTCTTACACATCCCCAAACAAAAACCAGAGGGACACAAAGAAGCCTTTGGAAGTGACAGATATGTTTATTTCCTTGAGTTGGTGATAGGATACCAAGGTTTTTTTTTTTTTAACCGGGAATTGAACTCACGCAGGACCTTGTGCTTGTGAAGCAGGTGGCAGAACCACTGAGCTAAATCCCTGGTCCAGTATCAAGTATTTTTATAGGTCACAGTTGGTCAAATTTGAAACACTGAATATGTGCAGATGTGTGTATATCAATTATTTCTCAATAAAGGAGAGAGAGAGAGAGAGAAGAGAAGAGAAGAAAGGGGAGGGAGAAACAGACATCACAATCCTGTGGGAGTCCCAAGGGGAGAGTGGGAGGGTCCCTCTGTTCACACAGACTAGGGGAGCACCAAGACTCTGCCACCTACCCTGTCCTCTGATGAGAGGCTTTGCTATTTTAAGGCTATTGCAAAATAAAGGAACCTGATTGGAGAATCAGGACTTATGAATGCTGACTAGTGATGATGAAGCTGTGATTTTTTTAAAAGGTTAGTTCCTGGTTTGTGTAGATTGGCACTAAAATAGTTATAGATGAAATGATAATCTAGGGTTTGCTTTAGACTATGAAAAAAATGACAATTTTTTCTGGAAAGAAATTCTGAAACAGGTCCTTTAGAAACCAGTGCACATCGAACCCTCTTCTGTATCCACTTTCCCATAGGTGGCCCCTCGTTAGGTGTCCTGATGCACAGGGGCTGTGCTCACATATGTGTTACTCCTGAGTGACTAGGCTGTACTGACTCAGCCACAGTCACACTGAGGGATTTGTGTGCCATCTATAAGCCCCTAGGAGAAGGGTTCCTATTTCAGGGTGTGGAGCTCTAGGTGCTCATCAACACCATGACCCCTTGAGGCCTTTGTGTGTGTTCTCCAAGCTGCTATGCTAGCAGCCTTGCTGTCATGGTGATATTGAGGTGCTGGATTCTTGAAGAGGCAGGGTCTATAGAAGGTAATCAGATAATGGGTGCACTGTCCTTGGAAGGAGCTCCTGCTGGTTTTGCAGGTAAAAGGTGGTTACAAATGGGCCTGGTAGAGTCCCTGAGTTACTTACTGACTTCCTGCCTGGTTGTGTAATCTCTGCCCCTCTCAGAGTCTGCTTCCATGAAATCATCCACAGTGCTTACCACAGCTAAGCAGATGCCAGTGCCATGCTCTGGAACCTCCAGAACTGTAAGATAAAGAAATCTCATTGTGTTGCTCAGCCTCAGGCATTTCATTACAGCAACACAGAGTGTACTAAGCAGCTGTGTAAGACTCCCCTAACCTCCTCTGTACCAAAGCTGAACTGACCCTTATCTCTTCTCCACGCTGAGGGCCTGGTCAGCTGCTAACCTCAGCCTCATTTACTTGACTTAAGGATGTAAGAATTCCTGCTGAGGTCCAGGCACCTCCACCCACAGTGACCCAGCCCAGAAGGAAAAGAAACTCACAGTGCACAAGAAAGTTTAAGCAATGGGCCCAGCTTTATTGAAGTGACCACACTCATATTTCTGTTGTTCACAATGATTGGCAAAAAGGCTAGTTTATAAAAGCTTCCCACTTCTGCATAGCACTATCTACATTCAGAAAACAGTAAAAATGTATTGTATAATGAACACTTTCCACCATAACAGTGTCATGACAGTTCACCAGTTTTTCAATAGACAATACAAAACAATATTTACAAGACAGGCCCTTTGCAAGTTCAAAATGTGGAGGCTTGTGATATATTTCTAAAACTAACATCACATATTTTTCCAAGTAAGGAGGGCTGGTCATTATAAAAATACATAAATTCAAAGACAGAACTAAAACATTCATTCCTATAAAAATATCTCTTACTAATAAAAGTATCAATTTTTAGATAAGTGCTCTTTATCAACAACAAGATATATAAATTTTTAGGAAACACCCACTAGGTCCGACAGTCCTTGTAGAATGAACTTGTTAAGTGATATAAAGGCTCAGTTGTCAACAGTGTTTTGTTTTCAGAGGACCATCTATCTGACTATGTTGCATGTGAATGGTGCACATATTCTATAAAGAGTGAACTCAAATTATCTATTTATTATGGAAGTCATTTATAAAGACAAACTGTTCAGCCTATAAAAGGAATTTTCATGTTGTCACTGCCTCCCAGGGAAGACAAATGTTTTCTCAGGATTCAGCTACATTTCACCTTGAAATACTTAACTTGGAAAACCTGTGATGGCATTTTGACCACTATCTGAGATCAACTCATTCATTTCATTTTGTTTACTCTCTTTTAGGGCATGGTTGGGGTGATTTCTTTGAGTCTGGGTTCTTTTGGATCTCCTAAAGCATACTTTCAGCAGCAGGTAACATAACTCAGCCACATTGAGCAGAATGCAAATCACAGATGCAGAAATCATAAAAATGGTAAACACAGTTTTCTCAGTTGGCCTGGAAATAAAGCAGTCGACAAGATTGGGGCAGGGGTCAATCCCACATTTCAGCACCCAGGGCAGGCGGTACCCATTATAGAGGAAATAAAACACATACATGAAGGCAGCTTCAAAGATAATTCTGAAGAAGATGCTGCTGGTGTATGTCCACCACAGTGACCCCTCAATGCGCACCTTCTGCCTTTTAATGTCTTCCAAGTCTTTGAATTCATTCTTCTTCTCTCCATGCCTGAACTTGCGGATGGTTTCATGTCTGTAGTAGGCCACATGCATGGCCACCAGCAGAGCTGGCGTGGACACGAAGATGAGCTGCAGGGCCCACAGCCGAATGTGGGACACTGGGAAAAAGTGGTCATAGCACACATTCTTGCAGCCAGGTTGCAGAGTGTTGCAGACAAAGTCCTCTTGCTCATCACCCCACACTTCCTGTGCAGCCACCACAAGAATCATGACCCGGAAGATAAAGATGACTGTGACCCACACCTTCCCAATGCTGGTGGAGTGTTTGTTCACACCCCCAATGACCGTGTGCAGTGTCCCCCAATCCATGGTGCTGGTTTATTCCTAGAAGACAGAAAGGAGTGACATTAGGCTGTGGGAAGTACATCTGGTTGATAAAACAGTGTCACAGATACTGATGCAAGCATATTTGTTTCAAATTAGTCTGTTGTATTTTATAGCTCCAACTCCCTGGTTGGCTAGAAGTTTTTCTGATAAGGAAGGCTCATTCTGAGCATTCTGTTGCTTTTGACCAGAAATAACTGTTTTAGGAGGAAGATTTAAGATCATCTTGATTCAACCGAATTCAGATTACAGGTTAGATTGCTATATTCCATTATTGGAGGACCACAGGTAAACAAATATGTGTCTAAGCTTTTTAATCACTGTGTGAATATATTACATACTTTATGTCAGTTTGGCTTTATCCAAGGGCTCACAGAGCTTCCACAGTAGGTTTTATTCATTAAGTGGCTTATTAAGCCAGCAAAAGTCATTCATTAGAATGATGTAATCTTGTTTGCAGCAGACTAAGATTTTAAAGCTGTTAGAAAGGTAGGAGACAAATGACTAGGCTCTCTACTGTGAGCCAAGTAGACAAACTGGGAAAAACAATTTCAGGAAGCGAAAGTACCATGTGAGCTGTAACTTACAAGACAAATGTTTGAAAACTCACATAAAAATAAGGATATGAAAAATAATATAACTGAGACCAGAGTGTGAAAAAGCAGTGGGTATCATCCTTGAGTCAAATGGTATAATTTTAACAGAACCAATAAAATGTAGAAATTCTTTTTGGGGTGTAGGGGCTCACACATGCTAAGCAAGGCTCCACCACTAAGCTATGCTGCCACCCCCTATATTATAAAAAATAAAATTTTCTAAAAATACTATTTCTCCTACTATAAGAGAGGTGTTGAGTTAGAACCTACATTATGAGATGAACTCTAGTCTTCATTCCCAAAAGAACTAAATCAAAGAGCACTGAAAAGTTTGCAGATGGGATCAGCACTTCTCCCCACGTAATCTGGAAGCTTCATTGTCTTTTTGTTGTTACTAGAATATTTTTAAAAAGTTAATTGTGGGTAAAATAGACATAAAATGTATCATATTAGCTAGTTGTACCGTTAGTGGTGTTAAGTGCATTCACATTGCTGTGAAACAGATCTCCAGAATCTTTGCCTCTTCCCAAGTGAAAATTTCGTATCCATTAAACAATAATTCTCTATTCTGTCCTCCAGACCTTAGCAGCCGTCTATTTTCTGTGTCTGTGATTCTGACTACTCTAGGTATGTCACATATATAAGTGGAATCATATATCATCTTTTTGTGACTAGCTTATCACAGCATGAAGTCTTCAAGGTTCATTCGTGTTCAGAATTCCTTTCCTTTTTCAGGAAATTCCACCAAATGGATTTACTACATTTTGTTGTCCATTCAACCTGTCAGTGGACCCTCTACTGTGTTACTTTTACCTTTTGATTGTTGTGAATAATGCTGCTATGAATAGAGTTTACAAAGGTTTGTTCCAGATCCCACTTTCATTTCTTTTGGGTATCTATATCCAGAAATGGGATTTCTGAATCCTTTGAGGATTCTATTTTTAATGCTTTGAAGATTTCCATAGGCAATCAGAATACTATTATTTAGAATCAAAGAGTGCCTCAATTCCCAATATCCTGATCTCCAAAAGAAGAAAAAGCCTCTAAGTGTGAACTGGGGAACCTGTTTAATCCCTAGCAAAGTTCTAAAACAGCATCATTATTTACTCTCTGCAAGAATTCAGTAATAGTACCAGTGACATATGTGACAGCAGTCATCTGGGGGGGCGGGAATCTATAGCAGTGTGAACAGGTGGTGGAGTCTGGAATAAGAGCCTCTTATTTCACCAGGGGAACAGCTGAGGGAAGCAAAACACTCTTTAGATTAGGGAAGATGATGGGCTGTAGGCTGTGGGGTTTGCAGCAGATGAATCAAACCTTGTGTCCATTTAGAAGTGAGAATTGGATCCAGGGCTTTGCACTCACGGAAAGCCATAGGGTTTGCTTTTTGTTTCTTTAGCTGAGAAAAATGGCATAGGCTGTCTTTAAGGCTGTAGTTTCTCAACCCCTGAAGCATCTACTCAGAGGCTGGTGAGCACTATTAGGGCTGGGGCAGAGAGGACTCACTGAGGAGCAGTGGTTTTGAGGCTCTGGCATTCAGATCTATTTATTAAAATTTTCCTTCTACTTATTCCATGGCCCAAAGAGACTTTCAATGTCCACAGCAAATTCACTGTTGATATTAAAAATTCATCTTAAATTATTATAAAATTAATTCTGAATACCTGCTGAAAGGCACTGTGATAAACTGCCCTACTGTTGCTGTTCTATCCTAGAGACATTTCAGGGTGTGATCAAGAGGGATGCAAAGCCGCATCTTGATGGTTAAGCAAGTTTTTGACTTCTCAAATAAAAACCCAGTATTCTCAAAAATGCTTGGAAATATATAGACTTTTAACTCCCAGGTAGGTAAGAAAGCTCTTTCCTGTGTTTTCTGTCATGTTCTCTGCCTGGACACGGCACACATGTCATCACTTGTCACCTGCCCTTCCAGGAAATAAGCAAATGGATCAAAGTGTCAGTGACAGCAGGACCTGAAAGAATTCTGCAGTTACAGAAGAGGTATATTGGTCCCAGCTTCCTAAACTGACCAGAAAACAATCTATTTCACCATGCTTACTGACTTTGATACTAAAAGTCAGTAATTTACCTATATCTTTAAAGGAAGAAAAATAAAATGCCCAGGTCACTATGAAAAATGAGGTTAAAGTGTGATACAAGTATGTAGCCTAATGTTACTCAAGACAATTAACAGGCAAAAAGCAAATCATGTGAATCCAAAGAATCTTCCTGCAAGTGTGACACAGGCCTTGATACTTTTAATGAGAGAAATGACCCAAGAGGACAGGATATTTCTAAGCTCTCCATCACTGACCTGGCCCTAAGGGGGCCTAAGGGTGTCAGGAACTCTACTCCACATTTCCTTTTTTTTTTTTGAGACAGGGTCTCACTATGTAGTTGAGACTAACCTGGAACTCACTAGGTAGCCCAGGCTGGTCTTGAACTCATAGAGATACTCCTGCCTCAGCCTCCCAAGTGCTGGGATTAAAGGTGTGCCCCACCACTCCTGGCCATATTTCCTGACAGAGAGAACTTTTCTGTTCCTTGGTCTAGGGAATCCTATTCCCTGGGGAAGTCACCAGTGAAGCACTAGGTATCTTTCCTGTGCGTCACTCTCTGAAAGGACAGTTCACTGCACGACCACTGGGAGACAAGTCAGGGTACTGAGCCCGGAGGTGGCTACTGAGCCCCAAACTTCCCAAAACAAGACTTCAGTCAATGGGAACACCTCTCTGTCCTCTCCCTGAGGAGCTACAGGAAGGTGGAGGTGACAGTTGGCTGGATTTTCAGCCAGTCTGAAGAGGACACTGGGCTCCCCTTACCCCTGCTGCCCAGCACTGTCAGAGGGCAGGAGCACCCTGGTCAGGGTGGGGGTCAGCCACGTGGGGCCCCAGGCACTCTGGCTTCACTTTTCTTTATAAAAACACATAATGGTGTGTGTGTGTGTGTGTGTGTGTGTGTGTGTGTGCAGGTAATCTTTCATCAGTGCTTTGCTTAAAGAAGATTGGAAGGCCCAGCACTCATAGGGAACCTGTCATTCATTTCAAATTATTTTCCAAAACCACCACATCCATTTGCACCTTTTGTAATTGTGGAAAACAAAATCTCTCTTTGCTTTCAGGCTTCAATAGGGCTGGGGCCAATGAAAAGAGCTTTTTAGTGAAAAGGAAACCATTATTTCCTGCTTTGTAAACGAGAAAAATTTTCACCGGTACCTTCCTAGTTCCCTTGTTAGGAGTAAATAGCTCCTGTAGTAGTCACTTTATATGAAAATGTTTACATTCAAACTTAAGAAGGTAAATTGTGTCTGGTTTTGTGGCACATCTAATTACAGTGAATAATTCCATACCATATTCTTAATCCTATACTAAAGGCCCAGTTCTAAATATTTAGCTCCAAAAAATAAATAACACAGTGATCTTTCCTTACTTCAGAGTACCCCCCCACACATACCTTTTTTGGTGATCAAGCCCAGGTCCTTTGTGCTGAGCTACATTATTTTATTTATTTTGAGACAGGGTTTTGCTAAGCTGTCCAGGCTGGGCTTGAACTTTGGGTCCTCCTGCCTCAGCCTCCCAGATTGCTCCCAGATTGGTACAGTCATGTACCATATCTGGACGAGAATGACTTCTTACAGTATGATGAAGATTGACTGTTCTTGCTTTTCATAATTCAAATCATTTAAGTCTACCGGCATTCTAACAGTGTAATTTCTTGCTTGTTTAAAAACTTTTTATTTAAGAATTTAATCACAGCTAATTTTACAGTGCCATTTTAATTACACCGAAGACAGAGCCAAACTAAATATTATATGATAAGCAGTGGAAAGGATCTTTCTTTCTCTAGATAGTTGGGATCTCCCTTGAATGAACTTTTCAAAGTCATTCAGCAGGAAGAGAGCACACTCCCCACGATGTCGAGCGAGGACTTTGTAGATAAAGGGAAGCAATATAAGCCACCGTGAACTCGAGCCTATGTCCAAGGATGCCCAACATGGCAGGCGTGGAGGTGAGAGGAGGATCCCACCTGGGGGCTCTGGACCTTCCTCCGATACTCTCCCTTACTGCCCGGAAGTCAGCCGGGGGGGTGTCACCTGCTGAACGAAAAATCTCGTCACCTTCTTTTAACTTCTCCCATGCATGTTCATTAAGTGAGCCTTGTGGGTAGTTTCTCATCACCCCCAGTACTGCTACAGGGTAAGTTTGGGTATTGTTGCTTCCTAATACTTTGTGCTTCAAATACATGCAAAAAAATCAAAGGTGGTCTTTAAATTTTTTTCCTCCTCTTCTTTATCCTCCTCCTCCTCATCTTAACACCCTATCCCAAACCTCAATCTCACCAAACATTACAAAAGACTAGCAAAGTTCGAGAAAATGGATACACCCTTACCACCAACTCAGCCATTAAAAAATCTCTCAAACCCTTTAATCAAGAAGAATCAATATCTTTCATCTCCAGAAATCTGAGGGCATCCCAGGAACGACCTGATAGTTGGTTTTCAAAAGGAATGACACAAAACTTCAGCAACTGTGCTTTCAAAGCAATGACTAAGGATGACAATGGATCTGTATTCACTTGTCTTCATAATTAACTCAATAAAAACGAAGCTTGTTTTTCTGCATATGTGTTTACATATAAAAGCAGACAATTCATAGACTTACATGTTTCTTACTCTATTTTGGAATTCAAAGAGTTACAAAAATAATTTCCATTAAGTTCAATTTCCAGCACCTGGATAATTGGTTAGCCCTTTCTATTCATTCAGGCAAACTTTTGTCCTTTGCAATCGTTTAAGTTCAACTACATTTCAATAAACCTGGGAAGAAAGAGAAATAAAGACTCTTGAGACCCAGTTCCACTCTCATACACCAGAGTAAAACTGAAATCTCACCAGTCCCCTTTCATGTACCAGGCAGGTCACACTGAAAACTTAAATCAAGACTGCATGGCCAGTGGGAGAAACAGACCTCACCGACCAAAAATTTGAGTCAAAACTTTTCCCACAATTTTACTCAACATCTAACCTAATGTACACAGGCTACTCATGGAATACTCAGCTGGAGTCAAAGATGCATGGTGAGAATGTACAGCCTAGAACTTTCTTTTCAGTCTACTGAACTTGTTTAGACCTTATATAGTCCTTTTCTTTCTTACCTCTCATAACACAGAAGGACAAAAAACAAGAAAAAGAGAATAAAGGCACCATTACCTGTATCAGATTTTTTTTGTCTTGAAAAAACAAAACTCATCAGTAGAGTAAGTGGACTGACCAGTGTCCTCTGGGTTTTAGCCCCTGCAGGACAGACGGGGGGGGCTCTTCACACCCCCAGTTATGAGACAGGCTCTTCGCACTACCCTCCCCTGCCCTTGGCAGGGTCCAAACAACACCCCCAAAGACTCTGCCTGATCCAACAAGCGACAAAGCTCTCCACAGGCACCGATTTGAGCAGCATCCTGCAATTCTAAGGAGACTTCAACAGGGCAGGACATTTTCTTCCAGAACACTGGTTAGATTCTCCTAAAACTGGGACGAGAAAAGCAACAAGCCCAGTTGAGGAAAGGAACAGGGCGCGTCATTACACGGAGGCACAGACTGACAGCGAGCTTCCTTCTAGGGGACACTGAGGCCGCCTGACCGGCGCCCCCCACCCGGCCCCTGCAGGTGTCACAGCTCCGCGCAGGCCGCACTCACCCGACCGGGCTCCGCGGCGGGAAGAGACCCCGCACCCCTGGAAGACTCCTTCACCGGCAGGAAGCGCCCACGGTGCCTGCACCTTTTAACTGAGAGGTGTCACCGAGTTTAATTACTGTTGCCCAGTACTGTCATTGCGTTTCACAAGCTCTTCGACTTAGATGACGCTGCCCACACCGGTCAGCTCCGCCACGACCCATCTGTTCACCCCCAGCGGCAGTTTGTCTGAGCTCAAACAGCAGCCCTTGGCCTGGCTTTCCGCTCCCCAAAGCCGGGGGGCCGTTCGCGATCCCCAGAAAGCAGAAACCCCGAAGCAGCAGAGGAAACGAGGGAAAGGGCCCGAGCTCCCCGCGGGCCACTCTCACACGGTGCCGAGCGCGCCTAAAACCTGTCGTGCGAGTCGGGGGCGCCGGGCGCGGGGAGAG